CAGTGAAAGTCTGCACTCTGGTTAGCCTGAACATCACTCAGGTTAGCCTTCAGGAATAATGTTTCAGTTAGCCTGTTTACAGTTAGCTCTCTGTGATGGAATCGGTAACACGATTCAGTTAAAATGACTACAGTCTGCAGTCTGCATTTTACCCCTGGACTGCAGTCTTCATTTTACCCCCAGTCTGCAGTCTGTGTTACACTGACCATTTGATAGCCACTAAACTTTAAGTTGCTTCACTGATAAAAGCTTTCAAAGAAACTGATGGTATCAATGGTATCATATTTAACAATCCCTTATAAATTTATATGTTATATTGATAAGTTTCTATTTGGTTTAATGGCTTTAAAGGTTTTGGCCATTTGAATTAAAAGACTCTACACTGTAACTTGCAGCTAGCCTTACTTCCATGTTTCACCAAAATTGAAATGTGTAGGACAAGAAAAAATTTAATGAGAAGAATGGTCATGTCAAAAATACGTTCTTAAGATAGCAATATTTCAGCAATGAGTGCAGTGGATGAGTAAAAGAATTAAATAAATGTCAATATTTTGCAGCAAGTGGCATCATCAAGATTGTCAATGGGTGATGAATCTCAGAGACATGCCAATAGATCTTGCATCTGGCCTTTTTTCTTGTAAAATAATGTGTTACTTACGAATTTAAGGTACATGTAATTAGTAACATGCATTTTAACTTGTCATTTTGAAATTAATGAATAATTCACAGTAAGATGGCTGCATGGATTGCAAGAAGAAGAACTCCTAAAATTCAGGAACAGTACCAGAAGATTGGTGGAGGCTCTCCAATAAAAATGTGGACAGAAAAACAAGGGGAGGGGATGGTTAGGCTGCTGGATGACATGTGTCCTGACACAGGTACTCTGATTATAAATATTGCTTCAACCCCTCTCCCCCCTTCACCCGCTCCGATTTTACAGGCCAAAATGCAGTTAAATACAATTTAACAGAGTTAACAACAAGGAGTGCAAGTCTTGCCTTTGTGGTCAGCGGCGTTTAGATCTGCACATGCGCCAGGATTCCATGTGCTCTTGGGCCACCAGGTTTTCAAGTAGTTTTACACTGTCAGTGCTTACCTTGAGCATTTGAGTTCCAAATGCAGGGACTCTGCTCAGAGGTTGTTTCCCCTCCCCTGTCCCTCTGTTTCCTTTTCACTGTTTTATCAGTGTGACAGGTGCCTGATTTCTTCCTTCTGCATGGGGGCTCATGGCTAAGTTGCCAGGATTTGCCAGCCATGGGAGTGGTCTCCATCTAGGAACTGGCTGCCAATAGTGGAGGCTCCTGGATGCGTCAGGCACCCAATCTCCACTTCACGAGGCAGTTGCTAGCAGTTTTTTCCAACAAGGTTTGACTCTAGTCAGGTTCCATGTAGTAAGTTCACAGACCTTCTATTTTGTGTTGGGTTTGTCAAGATCACAAGCTTAGTGAAATATTAACCCAGTGTGTGAGATACACATACTAAAACATAACAGGGTGGGGCTGGGGAAAGATCAAACCAGAGGGTCTGTGTGAACTTCTTAAAGAAGTAAATTCTCCATTTCTCCAGAAATGGAAAATTTCCATTGGGTAAGAGGTCATTAGCTTGTCAAGGATCCATCACGCACACGGCATGCACTTTGAAGTGGTTGTCATCACTCCATAGAGAGTCTCTTGCCGCCAAATTTGCATAATGTGACGGTAATATTTATGTCACACAAGCTCGCTTCTTTGGTGGAATCTCTGGATTTCATGTGGTAATACCTGTAGTCGTGTTATTTAGTCATAAAACGTTTTCCAAACTCTGCTTACCAAAAGCAGTATAAAAACGTAATGTAATGAGATCACACAGGAGGTCTGTTACATTTCCTATCTTTCATGACAAGTTAAAAAACTTGTTTCTTCCATCCTGCAAGGAAGACAAAAAACAAATAACATACAGCAGTCAGAGAATAACAGCTTCATAGCAAACAGAAGTCAGTTGGTTCCGATTTTTCCTCTCATTTGCTTTTTTCCAAGTTAAAATAATCTTGACACTACATACTCCAGCACATGTGGGACACCAGTTGTTGTTTACAGTTGTTGTTTTGTATTTTGATCCTTTCACATGTTGCTTGAGTTAATTCAGGGAGTGAGGGCAGAGGTGATAATGACAAGGTGATGACATGGGGCAGGAGACAAAAAAGCGTCCTTTTTAGTTTAATTTTTATGCCCTCTTCACGGCTTTATGCTCCTGCAACAATATAACATTTTATTGTTTTTTTTTTTATCCTGTAGCCCCTCACAAGTTTTACATTGGATTTCGCTATGTGAATCCTTTGACAGAGGACACTATTGATCAGATGGAAAGGCAAGTTAATGGATATCAATAGAATTTTACGGCTTGCTTTTACTTGTTCCAGATATTAGCTATCATCTGAAGCTCTGTAGTTCAGATCAGTTTAAGTGATGTCCAGATAGTGCTTGAGTGTATAGATATCCAGAATAACTGAGATAATTTATCCATAATACGTGTACATGGTAAGTAAGGTACATGTTGTAAATTGAGGAATTTATTTTTGTCTTAAACTGTTTTAAAAGTTAAACAAATTTGATTTTGACTCAAGAATAATGGGTTAAGTTAAAGGTTAAATCTGCATAGGAGCTAAATGGCCTGGTTTCTGTGGCATGAAACGACTAGGAATATTCCTACTCCCCCCTTGGATGGGATGCTAGTCCATTGCAGGGTTTCCCCCCCCCCCTAATGTTAAGTTTGTTGATACCCATTTATACACCTGCATGGGTGAGGGTAAAGTGTCTTACCTAAGAAAACAATGCAAATTTCCCCAGCTACTAGGCTCAACACAGGACTGCTCAGTCTGCACCCAAGCACACTAACCTTGAAGCCACTGCACCTCCACACAGAATAATAATTTAAATTTGCTATTTAGTTAATAATTATTATTCTTTATCTTAAACCTGGAGAGAATGAAAACTAGGAATATTGATTTGTAATTGTAGATGTTTTTGTTAATTATTCAGTGATGGAATAGAGAGAGCAGTGGCATTCACCCAGTATCCTCAATATTCATGTTCCACTACTGGCAGCAGTTTGAATGCAATTTACAGGCATTACAAGCAGAAAGGAGAAAATCCTAGCATGAAGTGGAGCGTGATAGACAGGTGGCCCACTCATCCAGGTCTTGTGAAGGTAAGCTCGGGAAAAAAAAGCTCTATAGCCCTTTTCACGGTTACCGTTGCTCATTAACATTTGCATTACAGTAAAATCTAGCATGTATGTGAGGCAATTTCAGGCTATTTTGTAGTTTTAGCCCAAAATTGCCTCGCATCCACGTTGGATTACAAATTGTAATGCAAATTAGAATAATTAACCATGAAAAGGGCTATTGAAACACTTAAAATATTCAATTCTGTTCATGAAATCCAAAATGTAAATGTACAATGTATCAATCATGTAATTCCAGACCATATTTTGTGTCATGTGCATCGTGTTTTTTTCTAATTTTGTTAGTTGGACCCAGCTAATTCAAACACAATAATTTCGAATTCCCCGTTATTTCAAAGTCAAAACCATTTCCCTTGGATTTGCTTTTCAGTCATTTACTATCAGCTATTTCGAACTCCCATTATTTCGAAAAAATTTTTGTATCCCCTGCGAGGTCGAAATAGTCGGGTTCAACTGTACGTGTAAGTTAATCCAATATTGTCAGTGTGACACTCACTATATACCTCTTACTAACCGAGTTTGAGGTCTGTACTATAAGTTAACTACGGACCAAGTTTTTCCCCTTTGATTCATGGCGCAAGCGGGGGGTGCACAGGCCCTAAATCAAGTTGGGAAAAACAAGGATCGGTAACTTACAGTACGGAGTGAGTAGACAAATTTAGTTAATCTCCACAGCATAAAAGAATTGCCAAATTTTCTCGATTTCTCTAAATGTTTTCAGCAACATGTAGTAATTAACACAAATGAGGGATTTCTTACAGTGCCAGAGAAGGAGCTTGCAGCCTAAGAAGCAAAAACCAAAACACCTTCAAAAGTACAAAATAATTAAAACAAATTAGCTAAATGTTCTTAATGAGTTGAAATGCCCTAATGCAGTGTAGCAAAAAAATCCCTTGCCTTACTCAAATTCGAGAAAAAAAGAGAGTGGAGAATGTAATACAAAGCAGAAAGTTTGGCTGTCAGGCATGTGCAGTGCTCATTGGACCGGCATTTGGCGGGAACTATAATTGTTGGATTTTGCGACATGGGAATTCGCAATTTCAAGCAACAACTTGAGGTGAAAGGAAGAGAATTAGGAGTGAAGGGCTGCGAAAAATGCAAAAATGCTTAATGTACTTATCGTGAAGCAGAGGAAGAATTCCTCTGGTAGTCAGGTCAGCTTGCTAAATATTCTGCTCAAGCATGAGTCAATGTTCAAGCAACAACTTGAGGTGAAAGGAAGAGAATTAAGAGTGAAGTGGTGTGAAAAATGCAAAAATGCCTTATGTGCTTATAGTGAAGCAGAGGAAAAATTCCTCTGGCAGACAGGTCAGCTCGGTAAATATTCTGCTCAAGCACGAGTCAAGGTAAACTTTAAACTAATAGTTTTCCTGGCACTGCTCAATTAACTGACTAGCTATACGATTAGTAAATTTAAAAGAAAAATTGTGAAGTGAGAGAACTACTAAAAATAATTTTTTTTAATAATTTAACTATGTTTTTTAACTTTAGGCCTTTGCAGAAAATGTCCAAGCTGAGTTGGCCAAGTTTCCTGCTGAGGTTCAAAATGATGTGGTTATTCTGTTTTCAGCCCATTCCCTTCCCATGAAGGTACAATCAAACGGCTGATTAAAGTAATTCAGTTGTTTCTACAGTGTAATCCAAATCCTTGTAAACTCATTGTATTAAGACACATTGGCACTGAATGACTGATGAAGATGAAGATATTTGACTTGATTTGAATTTCATCAATGTATTTTTCTCCATTTCATTTCTGATTGCAAGGTCGTTTTGTTCTGTAGATTGCAAGGTTATTTTGTTCTGTAGAATGAAATACAGTCACTAACTAGAGATTCTTAGGCTTTCTTATGTAGTCGATGGCGTTGCTGACTGTCATCAGTCATAAAATGTGATCTAAACAATTAAGCACTTGACTGAAGCTACACCAAAACACAGATTATTTTAACATATTTCACATTTTAAATTTCATTGCCTTGTAAATACTGTAGGGACAATATCATTTTTACAAATGGTGTGTGTTGACAAATTATACATTAAGTTCTACAGCACATGCAAGCAAATTTAAAAGGTGGCTGATGTGATGCACCCGTAGGTTGTGGAGAGAGGTGATCCATATCCTCAGGAGGTAGCTGCTACAGTTCAGAGGGTGATGGAATCATTAAACCACTCCCATCCGTACAGACTTGTGTGGCAGTCAAAAGTAAGTGTCCTCTGTGAAATACTGCTCTGAAAATATGGAACAACATATTTTTAAAAACACTAAATAAATGTAACATTTTGAACATGCCTTGCACAAATTAACTCACAAACTAATAACTGTGTGAGACCATTTTGCTCAAAATGTTCTTAGTAGCATGGTAGGAGCATTGGCCTCATGATTCGGGCTCAAGCCCTGGCCGGGAACAATGCATTGTGTTCTTGGGCAAGACACTTTACTCTCACAATGCCTCTCTCCACCCAGGTGTATACATGGGTACCAGTGAACTTAATGATGGGGGTAACCCTGCAATAGATTGGCATCCCATCCAGGGGGGAGTTGAAATACTGCTAGTCACGTCATGCTACAGAAACCAAGATAAGCTCCGACCTGATGGGCCACTGGCTCGTATGTAGACTTTAGCATGTGTATAGTAAATTAGTTGTTTTTGTATATATGTGTACTGCAGGAGACCTCTAGAAGCTTTCTCCTTTCTTGCCTGTTGTTATCAGTTACCATTAAACTGCACCAGCCTGTATTGTACTGTACATGTGCATGTGTGCTTTAAATGATTGTATACATTACAAAATATCTTGTGTCTCTAGTAATGGTGGGTCTTTATCAGGTTGGTCCCATGCCATGGCTAGGTCCCCAGACAGAAGATGCTTTGAAGGGTCTTGCAAAGAAAGGGAAAAAGAACATTCTGTTGGTCCCCATTGCTTTCACCTCTGACCATATTGAGACACTTCATGAGCTGGACATAGAGTATGCACAGGAGGTGGCACATGAGGTGAGATTATCAATTAACTGACCAATGGTCACCAACCCACCCACTGGCCTTAGTGGGCAGTTGACCGACCACCTGGCTGACTGACTAACATAAGGGGGTTAAATATTAAGCTTCAGGTCAAGTCACACTCAGTCTATGCAAAATGTCTGTCAGGACAGTCAAATATTTTTTTTTCCAATCTGGCCTGACCTACATACATGTAATAGCTCAGTATTTCATATAACCACCTTTCTCAGTGTTAAGTTGTGAAAATGTCTTGGTGAATACATGTATATGTTCCAAATTTTGTGAGCTAATGAATTATTGAGTATTGTTACAAACCAATTCAGTCAACACAATTCTGACCCTACACACATCAACTGTCAGTATTGTATTCTTTATGTGTCAGCTGGGGTACTCAGTATGATAACCAGTGGAGCTGTGTACAATGTAGTTTGTCTTGTCTCTGTAAAAGGTTGGTTCCTTATGGGATGTGCTTGTGTTTGGACTTGTTTTACTGCAATTTAAGTTATTAAACTAGCCTAAGAATAGAAATAGTAATGCGTTATTTATTGAGAGTTGGTGGGTGTAGCACTGCTGTGCCAATTTGGGATCCTGGAAATAAACAATTATCGTAAGATGAACATAAACCATCAAAACTCCCAACTGGCTGCAGGCTTAGCTTGTAGAAGTGCAGCACAAAGTTGTTGTGTTCTGTAAGTTTTAAGGATGATTTCCAGTCCGTACTGCGCAGTCTCAGCACCCGAATGTTTATAAACATTATAAACTCACTCGCAAACAAACTCTCGAGACGCAGTACGGACTAGAAATTGTCTTTAAGTGTGACCTCAGGTTTAGATGAAGTAAAATTATGATAGTTGATGTGAAGTGAAACGATATTGCTATAGATGAATATGGTTCCTTTTGTTTTGCAGGCTGGCATTGAGAATATCCGTCGAGCATCTTCTTTGAATGACAGTCCAACTTTTATCGGGGTACGTACGTTTGTTTGTTTGTTTGACTGACTGACTGACTGACTGACTGACTGACTGACTGACTGACTGACTGACTGACTGACTGACTGATTGACTGACTGACTGACTGACTGTCCAGAGAATATCCATACCTCCCCCGCGGAAAGGATATACATTTCTTTAAATTTTTTGGTCTTATAGACCCCCGCCCCCCCACGCCATCCCCAGGTAATTGCAATCCCTTATGTGGGGAGAGTATGGATATCTTTTGGCACTGAATTGGTTACAGACTGGAGCTTCATCATTCCACTGACTTAAAAGCTAGGAATATCTTAAACAGCATGATATACATAGAGTACCTCCTGAAAGCGCTCAATAGCTTTCAGTGGAATGGTCACATACTACAGTTTCCAGTACTAATGTTAAAGTCTTAAACACCTTCCATAGTGAAAGAAACTGCACTTCGTAAAATTATTGCTCACGAGGTTTCACTTTAGACAACATTGCTAAGGTGCCACCTAAAAACAAAAAAGTTTGAACCACCTTGTACATGTTAATCGTAATAAACAGTACCGCATGAAAGATTCCATTAACGTTCGCACATTAGGGTTTCATTCGCAGACTCAAGACTTAGAACTGCGTTAATTAACTGGAGGTTTTTACGTTGAAAGTCCTTAAACGTTTAATTTTTTTTTTTTCATTTTCTCTATGAAGGCGATGGCTGATGTGGTTAAAGCTCATTTGGATTCAGGAATCAACTGTTCCCGTCAGCTTCCTCTTCGCTGTCCGATGTGTGTAAATCCCACGTGTGGTTTGGCTAAGGAGTTTTTCCTTAACCACACACTTTAAAATGTAGAGATTAGGGATGGACCATAAAATAACGTTATTTTGAATTCCAAAAAATCTTATTTCACCGCTATAGTATAGTTGGCAAGGAACAAGCGTCTTTCCGCTCTCAGGTCAATTAAGTTTCGTTGTGTTTAGAAGATAAAACGTTAGCGCGGATATTTTACGTTAACAGTGGAGATACTTGAACCAGTTTGAATCGCGCTTTTTTGTAATTTCCTCTCCAAAAGGGGCTGAGGCATGTAATGCGTATTGATTTCATCTTTCTTCGCTACCCCTTGAGTTAAAATGCAAAAGCTGTTTCCGCAGTGTTCAGATGGTTAACCTGTGGAACTCTGGGCAAGCTGTCTTGGGGCTTTCTGTGTTCAGTACACTGCCTCTCCTCACCCAGGTGTATAAATGGTTTAATGCTGGGGGTACCTCTGCGATGTACTTGCACTGCATCCCGTCTTGGAATGAGCAGAAATACTCCAAGCCGCTTTATGCTACGGCGGAAACCAGAGAAACGCTCTGCCTTGATTGCAAAAAACGGTTCTTTTAAAATCGGTTTTGAAGATTCAATTCATTATTCCCTTTGCATTATCTTACCGTAGTCCTTACGAACTTAAACGAAGACCTGAAAGTCAACGCAAATGCAATTAACTGACTCTAAAGGAGACACTCCCTGAGTAATCTTTGTGTGTCCACGGGCCAAACGCAAATGGAAGATGGAAGGGGCTTTCGAAATATGAATTTGCGTACAAATTTTCTTTGCGTAGCTCTTTAAGTACCCCCAACTTGTAAAACAAAAATCTCGAAATTACACCGGCGCTTGCCCACAGCTACAGAAATCGGTAGGGCCAAATTACAGCGACCTGGTCAAACAAGACACCTAGGCTTGGTTTAAGAGAGTCAGTTCTTGTGTTAAGACGAAATTCCTTTGATTTTACGACTTAATTTATAAAGGAATTCACCTTTTGGACGCACCTTACGTGCCGACTTTTGAAAGCATCTGCTGTTATGACATCACTTACCAAAAAATAGCGCGATTCAAACAACTCAAGTTTGTGCCAATGTAAGATAACTTTTTTTTCTTGTTATTATTTTATGATTTAATGTTTGGTCGGTAGTTTTCGTATTTTGTACGAAGATATTTGATTCCTGTATATCTGTTTCTGTCAACAAGAAAGCGTTGCTTGTTTGTTTATTTAATTCTTTTTCGTTATTTATGGTCCATGTTCTTTTTCTTTATTTTGCCGCCGGGGCGGCTGCTCTTATGCCAAGCCTAGAACTAAGAAGAATAAATAATGTTCACTATGATGCCCTTCAGAATTTTTTTTTTCTGTTTAAGTTTGTCATTCCCAGGGAGATTCCCCGGGGGGGTCTGCCATACAAAAAAAGACGCAAATTTTGAAAAGAACCTCTAAGAGGTACCAAAATCCTTTTTGTTGGGCGTGGCTTGAATTTTTTCACCCCTAAGAGTTTCCTATTCTAAAACAACACATCACATGACATTGACGTTTTTCGGCTTACCCTTAAAGCTACCGCAAAAGCTGCCGCTGTTGAGCTTTTTAAGCTGAACACCCTAAGAGCTACCAGAACCCCTGAAAGGTACAATGAGCACCCCTTTCCTTTTTATATGGGAGTCCCCCAGGGGGAGATTCCCAATGCTGAAGAATTACTTGCTTGTAACGAATTACTTGCATGAGAATAGCACGGTAGTACAATTGTAGGGGTTCTAGTTTTTAAATGGCGTTATCGTGCATGTCACCGGCAGAGTGGAACAGTAGTATTCAGACAGACAAAGTGAACTGCCCACATTAATCGTTTAAAATAGGTCATTTCCGAGTTGCCTTTTTGAATCTACGGCCCGAGGGCCGTAGATTCTATGTCAGCGAGCGTGCCCGTTAACCAAAAATGTGTAACAAAAGAATATTCGTACTTAATCAAACTTCGGATGTGCGAAGATCGCTTCCCGATTAATGCCCGAATGGCTGACCGTACGATCGAGAGGAACAAAATATGTGAAGATTAGTCACGATTGATTTGTCGGTAGACTTTTCGGTTAGTCCAACCTGTCAATGTTCGTAAGAGGGAGTTGGTTGTCAAAACGGAGAAAAAAAATGCGAATTTACTAGCAGAAGCACAGCGTTACGGAGCATTATCGATAGGGACCTTAAGCAAACCTCGACGGCAACGGCAATGAGAACGTCACCAAACAAGTTTAATGAGCTGAACAATAGCTGTGCACGTGCGTCATAAATATTTGTATATTTCTTTGCCGTCCTCTGCA